CTCAACCCCAAAATGCCAAAGGAAACTTAAAAGGTCAGTAGGAAAGGTTTGTGAGACCACAGTGAGAGATGAGCTTGGTCCAGTCCCAGTCCCAGCACAGCCCTGAGGCGGTGGTTGCTTCCAGAGCTCTTGGCCCACAGCCTGAGTGGGGATCTAGTGGCTGATCAGAGGGGGATTGCAGGATGCTCTTGCTTTGCCAGTGCTGGATCTGGGTGGCAGTCCTGGGGAGAGGAGGAGCATTGGCATGGTGGAGCTTGTGGTGGCAGTGGAGAGGGAATCTTCCTGACAGTTCCAAGGCAGAAAAGAGTGCGTGTGGTCACTCACAGACCAGAGCACAGGTCAGGAAAGGAGTAAACACCCTATCCTTGATCATACCACCTTGGGAGAACTGAAAATTTACAGGTCCCTAGAAGTATCTGGAAACAGCTGCACAAAACCCCAAAGCTTGGGATAGTACATTCTCCAAACTGGAAACAGATCCCTACCTTAACAAAGAGTTTAAAACTCAAGTAATTAACTGGGAACATGACCAAATAACGCAAAAAAAGCCAGACCATGGAATCTTACTTTGGTGACAAAGAAAATCAAAACACACAGCCAGAAGAAGACAAGAAAGTCAAAGCTCCTCCATCCAAAGCCTCCAAGAAAAATATGAATCAGTCCCAGGCCATGGAAGAGCTCAAAAAGGATTTTGAGAAGCAAGTAAGAGAAGTAGAGGAAAAACTGGGAAGAGAAATGAGAGTGATGCAAGAAAATCATGAAAAACAAGTCAACAGCTTGCTAAAGGAGACCCCCAAAATATTGAAGAAAATAACACCTTAAAAATAGACTAACCCAAATGACTAAAGAGGTCCAAAAAGCCAATGAGGAGAAGAATGCCTTAAAAAGCAGAATTGGCCCAGTGGAAAAGAAAGTCCAAAAGCTCACTGAAGAAAATACTTCCTTAAAAATCAGAATGGAGCAAATGGAAGCTAATGACTTCATGAGAAATCAAGAAATTAAAAAACAAAACCAAAAGTATGAAAAAAATAGAAGACAACATGAAATATCTCATTGGAACAACAACTGACCTGGAAAATAGATCCAGGAGAGAGAATTTAAAAATTATTGGACTACCTGAAAGCCATGATGAAAAAAAGAGCCTACACATTATCTTTCAAGAAATTATCAATGAAAACTGCCTTGATATTTTAGAACCAGAGGGTAAAATAGAAATGGAAAGAATCCCCTGATCACCTCCTGAAAGATCCCCAAAGGAAAACCCCGAGGAGTATATTCTATAGTCAAATTCTAGAGTTCCCAGGTCAAGGAGAAAATATTGCAAGCAGCCAGAAAGAAACAATTCAAGTATTGTGGAAACACAATCAGGATAGCACAAGATTTATCAACTTCTACGTTAAGGGACCAGAGGGCTTGGAATATGATATTCTGGAGGGCAAAGGAGATAGGATTACAACCAAGAATCACCTACTCAGCCACACTGAGTATAATCCTTCAGGGGAAAAAAATGGACATTCAGTGAAATAGAGGACTTTCAAGCATTCTTGATGAAAAGACCAGAGCTGAATAGAAAGTTTGACTTTCAAATACAAGACTCAAGAGAAGCATGAAAAAGTAAACAGGAAAGAGAAATCATAAGGGACTTATTATATTATATTATATTTGTAACTCATGAGACCTTTCTCAGTATTAGGGCAATTGGAGGGAAAAATTATATGTATATGTATATGTGTATGTATATGTATATGTGTATATATATATATATATACATGTATTGATAGAGGGCATAGGGTGAGTTGAAGGTGAAGGGGTGATATCTAAACAATAAAAGTAAGGGGTGAGAGGATTATACTGGGAGAAGGAGAAAGGGATAGGTAGAATGAGGTAAATTATCTCACATAAAGCAGACGTGAAAAGGCTTTTACAGTGGAAGGGAAGTAGGGGAAGGTGAGAGGGAATGAGTGAATCTTATTATAACATACACACTCAATTGGGTATGGAATGCTATCTTACCCTACAGGAAAATTGGGAGAAAGGGAATAAGAGGGGTGGGATGATAGAAGGGAGATCAGATTGGGGGAGGGGGTAATCAGAAGCAAATACTTCTGAGGAGGGACAGGGTTAAAAGAGCAAATAGAATAAAGGGGGGGGCGAGATGGGATGAAGGGAAATACAGTTAGTTTTTCACAACATGACTACTATGGAAGTGTTTTGCATGACTACATATGTATAACCTGTATCGAGTTGCTTGCCTTCTAAATGAGGGTTGGTGGGGAGGGAGGAAGGGAGAAAATTTGGAACCCAAAGTTTTAAAAACAAATGTTAAAATTGTTTTTACATGCAACTGGGAAATAAGATATACAGGCAATGGGGTATAGAAATTTATTGTGCCCTACAGGAAAATAGAAGGGGAAAGGGATAAGAGAAGGGGGTGGTGATAGAAGGGAGGGCCGGTTAGGGGAAGGGGTATTCAGAATCCATGCCATCTTGGGGTGGGGGGAGGTGAGAGATGGGGAGAAAATTTGGAACTCAAAATCTTGTGGAGTGAATGTTGAAAACTAAAAATAAATACATTAATAATTGTTTAATATAAAAATTTTTTTAAAAAGAAAAGAAAAAATAGATGTAGAGCTAGCTCATAGGTCATTTAGTCTATTCCTCTCATTTTAGGAAACAGGACTAGGATGGTTGTGACTTGCCTAAGGTCACATAAATAGTAAGTACCTGAGCTAGGATCTGAACTCATATCCCTTGATACCAAACTCAACATTTTTTCCTCTGTCCAATATTGCTTTATTGTGATTCTTCCCAGATAAAGTAAAAGATTTATCTAATAACAGTTTATTGAACATTAGCCATATGTAAATCACTATACTAGGTGCTTTGTGTGATACAACTTTGAATAAGATAAGACCCTTGACTTCACAAAGCTTCCACAGGATACAAGACAAATACAGAATTGACTATAACACAATATAGTTTGTAATGAATGTGTAGACTTTATATATACTTGCTTGGGTCCTCCTCCAACCCCCATTTACACTGAGAAGTTGAGTCCCACAGAGTAAAGCTGACTATATCTTTCCTTTAGGATTCTAGGCTTACCCCTGATGGGACTATGGGGCTGTCTTTTTTAGAATGACTTCTCATGAGCCTCTACCTGAGTGCTTCTCACTATGAATATTAGTTGTTATTAATTAGTCTGCCAGTCTGAATTAGTTTTTAGAAAAGTGTTTTAATTAAGGTAGTATAAGAACAGTTGGTACAAATATCCCCCAAAATATCTTTGGAGTGCTCTCTCACAAATACATATTGAGTGCAGAGGAAAGTGGATTCAAGCTTAGAGAGCACATGCAACAAAGGTAACTCATAGCTCCTGCAAATACTTATGCTATAGTCCTCAAGATGGTTCTTTTAGGTATGTGGTCTGTGTGTGTGTGTGTGTGTGTGTGTGTGTGTGTGTGTGTGTGTATGTGTGTGTTTTCCTTGTTCTGTGCTCTTTAAAGAGCCTTGAGTTTGTATGGAGTCTGTCCTTGACTCCCATTTCAGACATTGCCACCTGCTGTTCTGAGGACCGTGCTAGGATGCTGATGGGAAGATGGAAAGGAATGAGAAGATGGCTAGTCTAAAATCCTGGAACTTCAAAGGATCCTTCTCTGAACAAGGTAGAAGGTATGCCTAGGCTGAGGCTTAGGGGTGCCCCCTAAGCGATTCTTCCTCAGAAATGCTTCTCTAGTCTCTCTGCTGCTAGACCCTTTAGTTCTTGATTGCAACTAGTTCTGTCATCTTATACAGGTCCCAGAGGTTGTGACCAAGTGCCTCCACCAATCCAAACAGACTTTCTGTCATACCTAGGCCCTGTTCACATCTAGTGGATAATTAGGATACATTCTCATCTGACAGATATAACAGGGCTTTGCATTTTCACACTATTTTCAAAGGATTAGGATGGTTTGATTGATTTGGGGCCCTGCCCCAAAATTACTCTGGCCAGTAGGGCCAGTAGGGGTAGCCAGGTAACACAGTGGATAGAGTGCCAGGCATGAAGTCAGGAAGATTCATCTTTCTGAGTTCAAATCTTTCCTCAAACATTAGCTTTGTGACCTAGGCAAGGAATTTAACCCTGTTCACCTCAGATCCTCTTCTGTAAAATGATCTGGAGAAGGAAGTGGCAAACCACTGCAGTATCTTTGCCAAGCAAACCCCAAATGAGGTCACAAAGAGTTAGATATGACCATGAAGGAACAGCAGCAACAACAAAAAGTCTGTACCTGTTATAGGTTGTGAGAGAGTACATCCAGATAGGTTAATCAATCAACTTTTAATTGCCTACTATGTGCAAAGCACTGTGGTGGGTATTTGGTAATATAAAAATATTAGATAACATAGGGTTCCTACCACCATGGAGTTAATAGCTTCATAATGGAAGGCTGCTAGGAAGACTTCAAGGAAGTCATTCCTATGAATCTGACTCCTGCCCAGAGACACAGAGCTTTGTGAGGTGACTGCTGGGCAGTTCTAGGAGAAGAAAACAAGCAGGTGGATGGAATTATGTAATCATTATTAAGACCTAAAATATAATTTGGTGACTTGGGCATATAAAAAAGGCCCTGTGACATAAAGGCAGAAGGGAAATCATGAATAAAATAGAAGATTCGTGTCTGTGTAGGACTATGCCCCAGTGGAGGACAAAGTCAGCTATGACTTTACTCTTCTGACCAGCTTCCTCTTGTGGGCAGAGACACCTCCCTCACTGACCCTGAGGTCCCAGCAGCCTAAAGGATAATTCATCAATGATTCTAACAGTGTGCCACATCTGGGGGAGGAAGGCCTCTCAGCCTTTCTTGTTCGCCTTGGCATGGGTAGAGGGAGGAGAAAGTGTAGCTCTATCCATTGGCCAACCATGCAAATTATGGCTGGAGGGTCCTGATTGGTTTCAGGATGTTGATTTCTTTTTTAACAGTAGCCGAGGAACCTGAGGGATGGGGTGGGGACTTCCATCATTGTTTGTTGACCAATGATGTGTCTTTTCTTAGTCGACGTGGCTGGGGCTTGTTGACCTGGCACTTCTTGGCTGGGCCCTCTTCAGTTTGCCCCTTGTCCAGGGTGAATCTGCTGCCCAGTGTCCACAAGAGGATGCCAAGGAGGAGAAGCCCCTTCCACAGGAGAATCCACTTCAAGGGGCAGGAGTATACATTCTCAGGCTCTCTTGGATCAGAAACAGAGAATTGGCCATGTGGAATAGGAGACAATTCAGGCTGGTTGGGATGATGGGTAGGAATTAGTCTGGGTAATTTACTCCCAAGAGGTTGGTCAGATTCCCAGGATGCTAGACCACTCAGTAGAACTTTTAGGTGTAGATAGTCAGATTATTGACTTGAGGGGGAGGGCCAGGCTTATAGCAAGACCATGCTGCTTTCTCTGTACTACCTTCAAAGGTGAAATATGAGGTGTGTGGGTGAGCCCATTCCAAAGTAGGTCAGAAATATTCCCTCTGACATCAAGGATATCCCCTGCTGCTCCCCAAACCTCATCCCTCACCCTCCACTCCTAGGAAAGCACAGAAAGTTCAGATTGCTCCCATATCAGTGGAGTGACCTCCAAAAGCCTTGTGAGAAGAGGGGACAAGGGTATGGGACAAAAGCATTTCTCCTCTAGTTCAGCATTTCTTAAACTGTGGGTCAGACCCATATGGGGTCATGTCAGTGAATGTGGGGGTTGAGAAAAATTTGGCAACAGTAAAAGGTTTCTGAATGTGCAATGATAAAAAATTAATTAATAATCAAATGTGTAATGAATCTGAGGTGTTTGTGGCGGCACTTGCCTTAAGCTACTTTACTGCAACCTTGATTCTGAACACAAAACATGTGCACTTTGCACTGTGCATGCCATCACACCACTCAACACCAACAATGCTGCCAGAAACACCTCGGCTCAGAATCGAGACTATTATCTATGGTAAAATTATATGTACACCAAAGAATTCTTTCAAAACAAATTTGTTTATGATTTATTATCAGTAAATGTTTGATTTGTATACCTGTTTTGTATACCTATATACCTGGGGTTGTATAAAAATTTCTTGGGCAAAAAGAGGACAAAGTGTAAAAAGCACTGCCCTAGTTCCAATGAAAGAGTATGACTGGGCAGCTGTGCTAAACTCCTACCTCTGTCATTCGTATGTGGTATGAATTACCCAGCTTTCCCATTTAACCTTGAAACTCATTCTCCTCACACCTCCCTCCCACTTCTGAGATCCATCACACCTACCCTGTGGGGCTTTGTCTGAAGCATAGATATCCCTCAGGTCTATGGTGATATTTCTCTGATCCACAGGATTGCTGGCCAAGCAGGTGAGTGAGGAGTTTGATAGACCCACAGGTAAGGACAGACTCAGGGTTCTGGAGTTGGTAGATTCCTCTGCCATTTCTGATTGGTTCAGCCCACTCAGGAGGTTCCAACTCCTCCAGGTCACTGTTACAGCTTTCCCAGGCCCCAAGACTTGACAATCCAGGGTGATGTTGCACCAGAGTGGTGTGAGACACTGGGACTGGATATGGATCTTAGGGTCAGGGATGGGTTCTGGGGTCAAAGGAAAAGAAGAGACATTAGGGCCAGGGACCTGGAATATCAGAAGTCTTCACCCAAACCTGAGATGCTGCCAGCCACCTTTCACAGGATGTCAAGCTTCACAAAAGTGAGTCCTTTGTAGTACTCACTGATATAGAACAATCACCCCCTTAGGGAAATTTGGCTCCAGGGTAAAGAAGCACCAACTGGACCTTCCAATTAAAATTATAATTCATGTTGTGAAAAAATACAAGTAATTGAGGGAAATTTAGTTGGATATGTGGTAGATTCAGTTATTAAATTGGCTCCCGTGCTTCTGAAGGAGCCCAATTTTTGCTTCCTCTCAGTGTTGGTGCTGTGATGCAAATGCCTGGACACTCTATCCTAGTTAGGGCTCTGATAATCACTCTTCCATTTTCCAGAGGAGAAGAGAAGAGGTTCATTTTACTGGTCACAAAACCCCAAAAGTTGGGTTTCTGAGAGTTCCTGCTTTCTCTCTTTTGGTACTAACAACTGGGTTAAGATATTAGTTAGGAAGTGAGTCGGGGTTTTTTTTGGTAATTGTTTTGTAATTTAAGAATTAGAATTAGGGTAAATGGAAAGTGGGGAGGGATGATTATAGATGACTGAGTTCACTTCAAAATAGAAAGGATAGTATAATTTGGAGGAACTTGGGAGCTGTGCTCCAGAATGAATCCTTCTCTACTCTCTCTGAATCCCCTTCCACAGACTTTGGCTTGCACAATGAACTTTGTAAGGAAAGATGTACAAAGAATAACTTGTTTCTGTGGGTGAAGAAGGAATCTGTATCTATTGACTGCAGTAAGCTCTGCCTTGGAGAGGGAAGGGAGTAGGGGAGAAGCAGCGGCAGAGGCAGCAGAAGGAAAAGAAGCAGATGGAAAAGTAGGAAAGGAGGAGAATAAAGAGAGGAGGGGAGAAGAAGAAAAATTAGTCATAGCAGCATCATCAGAGTCACACACATAGGAAGTATCTGAGGACAGATTTGAGCTCAGGTCTCTGACTCCCAAGTCTAGGATTCTATCCACCTAGCTACCTAAAACTAAACGGAATAGAACAACAGAAAGAAAAACCCCAACCATGTCGGCCTTCAGTTGCCTCATTTGTAAAATGAGGGAAAGGTTGGACTAGATAGTCTGTAAGAAACTTCCCAGTGGAGCTGTCTGAACATAGCCTGGGCTACCTTGGGGTGAGTCAGGACATGGTCATGAGTTCTGTGGTGAGGGAAGTCTTCCATCGAGGTGGAATGACTACTTGCCTGGGATGCTGCAGAGGGATTTCCCTGAGGTTACAGGTTGGACTAGAATCAGTGCTTCTTAAACTGTGGGTTGTGACCCCCAAGTTTGGTAAAAGTAAAAGGTTTCTGAACGCCTAGAATTCTGAATGCCAAAAATCACTTAATAATCAAACGTGTAATGAATCTGAAGTGTTTCTGGCAGCTCATGCCTATGTTGCACGGTAGTGGAGTAGGAACAGCAAAGTCCTATTTTTCCCCCAGAGCAGTGAGACCCCATCTTTTCTCTATATATTGATTAAGCATCCCTTTCCCCTATATACTTAGCCCTTTCCCCCATTTGCTGCACAGACAACTACTTCCCCATATGCTGAGCAGACAACTACTTCTCCCATATGCTGAATAAGCAACCTCACCACTCGGTAGCCTACCCTATCAACAGCAACCTTGTGGTCTAGGGACCCTCAGCTCACCCTATCACCAATGACCTTGTGGACAAGGGACTTTCCTAAGATCTGGAAAACGCAATGAGACTCCTCAATAGTAACTTATATGATGTCAAAACCCCAATTAACATCTCATGAATATGATAACGAAAGGACTCTTGAGAGTGAAAGTATAGCTGTATCATGATACACCCTGAAGACCCAGTAAAGCTCAGGCGCAAGTCTTTTTTTTTTTTTTTCTTTTGCTTGCATAGCACACAAATTATGCCATAGCAGTTTCCATAAGTCACTCCCCCTTCAGCTCTGATATAAGCAAGTCCCCATTCCTCTTTCACCCAACCAACCAGTGTCCTGAGCTGCTTGGTTCCATTTGCTTTTACTACAACAAAGCCCTGCTTGGAAGGACTGTGGCTTTGGTATTCTTACCAACTCTGAACCAGCTCTCCCACTGCAATAAGACTTCACTGCAGCCTTGGTTCTGAACACAAAGCGCGGGCAACTTGCACTGTGTATACTCTCAGGCTGCACAACGTCAACAAAAGCAGCTGAACCTCGAAAAAGGGGTCGTGAGTGAAAAAAGTTTAAGAAGCCATGGACTAGATGACCATCGAGGTCCCTTTCCACTCTGGGGTGCTATGATTCTAGGCTCCCCAGCCTTTGGAGCCACATTTACCATAGACAGAGAGGGCAAAGGAGTGAACATTGAACATTCCAGAAGTGAGTAAGACCCGAGCCTCGTACAATCCACTGTCCTTGAGAGTCACATTCCTAATGATGAGGGAGCCATCATCCAGGCCATCCAGCCTCTTTTTGTATCTGTCCAAGGGGCTGTACCAAAGAAAAGAGTGACTCCTAGGGCTAAGGGAGAGCAGCTGAAGCTTCTCAGAATTAAACCTCCATTCAATCTCTTGGATTTCTGTCCCTAGGGAGACATTCAGTGGGAGCAGGATGTCTCCCCCAACAGTCCCATCCACTGTGTGGCAAGAGTTCCTGGCTCCTTTCTTCTGAGTGCCTGTGTTGGAAGACCAGAGAGTCATTCAGAAGGTGTTCATTCATTCAACAACCATTTAATAAAGCTCTTATTACGTGCAAAGCAGGTGCTTGGCATTGGGGAACCTACAAAGATTAAGAAAACTGGGCTCCTGGCCTCATGGAGCTTAACGCCTAGAAGATAGCTATCATTTATAGTAATGATAGCTAGTATTTACATTGAGCTTTAAGGTTCACAAAGGGCTTTACACACATTATCTCATTTTATCCTCACAACAATCCTGGGAGGTAGGTGCAATTATTCTCCCCATTTTGCAGCTGAGGAAACTGAGTCACAGAGAGATGAGGTGACTTGTCCAGCTTCACCCAGCTAGTAAGTGTCAGAAACAGGATTTTAACTCAAGCAAGATTTCCTGACTTCAGCACTCTGTGCATTGAACCATCTAGATGCCTAGAGGGCATAACACATAGACAGGAATGCAATTTGTTCATATTATGGTATCATAAGATCAGATGAGAGCTAGAAGGAGACTTAGTGAATGCTTGGTCTAATCCTCTTATTTTACAGGTGAGGACACAGACCTGCAGAGGAGAACTGACTTGCCTCAAATCACAGAATAGTTATCAGAGTTGAGAACTGAACTCAGGTCCTGGAGCTCTCCTCTTTCACAGACCATCCACCTCTCAAAGCTTAAGACTTCAGTAATTGAATGACCTCAAGGACATAGGCATTCTTGTATAGGTACTCCATTGATGGAGACCACAGGTCCTCCCCTTCTTATCCTGGGAGATTCTTTTCTCTTCAGTTATTTTTCAGTCATATCTGACTCTTTGTGACCCCATTTGGAGTTTTCTTGGCAGAGGTACTGGAGCAGTTTGTCATTTCCTTTTCCAGCTCATTTTACAGATGAGGAAACCCATGGGTCAAGTGACTTGTCCAGGGGCATACAGTCAATTAAGTGTCTGAGGCCATATTTGAACTCAGGAAGATGAGTCTCTCTGACTCCAGGGATGGGACTCTATCCACTGTGCCACCTAGCTGCCTGATTTTGACAGATTTTTTGATAGATGCCTGGGCCACCTCTTTTCCCAGTCATTCTGTTCCTTTTTTTCTGTTTTTTTTTTTTGTATTTAAGTCATAGCTGTTAATATACAGGGTGTTTCTAAAGACTTGGGACAGTTGGGCTCACAATGGAAGTGGAGGCTACAGAAGATATTTATGTGTTAATACACTCTTCTTCTCATGTTCCAGTGAGGCTGAACCACTACCAGTACTTGGCCCTGCTCCAACTTTAGTGTTCAGGAGCAGTTGGCTCACCCAGGCTATGTCTGGGTCTCCCTTGCCATGCCAGACAGTTTGCATAGGGATCCTAGTTGCTTGGCATTGGGATAGCCTTACTTATGCACCCGGCCACTCCAACTGGAGAGGCTGGTTCTGCCAACTTAGAGACCACTAGCTTCATAGATTCAGAGCTTTCTCCTTCAGAGGACAGGGAGCTCAAGTCTGATGCTTCCTCAGATAGAGGTCCATGAAGTCCAACAAAGGTCCTGGAAGACAATAGCATTGAAAATTTGGGCACTGTACAGGACAGAACAGATGTCTCCCATAGTAATAGAGTACTGCTGGACCAAGACCCCTCTTCAAAGCTGGGAGACAAAGCCCATGAAGAGGAGATTCATAAATCCACAGAATCCTCACAGACTAAAAAACTGAGCAAAACCCACGTATCTAACCTATCTGGCACATTGTAACAGGTGGTGAGTAGGGACACAGTTCTAACTGATCAGGGTGAGGTGAATCCCCTGAAGAACATTGAGGAACAGTTGAGCAACACTATACATTTGACCAAGCATGCAACCAAGGAGGCCCTTCATGCTGCCATGGAAGGCTTCCTCACCAAGGAAGCCATCTCATTGACCAAAGATGCCTTTAGCCTAGGCAGGGATCAGATGACCTCTAAGATGCACAAAACATTATTCCTTCCTCCAGCCAAGGAGCCCATGGCCAAGATGGAGGAGGGCAGAACCTCAGCAAGTGGAGGAGCTGCCAGGCTTCAATATTTCTCAATAAAGAGGACAGTGTCCCAGCAGTTACTTGAGGGTGTCTCCCAGAATTGTGGTGGCCCTGAAGACAGGCTTTCAGTGGACAGCAATGGAAGTGATAGCTTTGTAATGCTTTTGGAATCTGAGTCTGGATTGGAATTAATACCCCCAGAACAACTCCCACCAGCATTGGATGATAGCAGCAATCAAGAAGGCCCCAGAGTAAACGATGATGGCCTAATATCTCCAGAGGCAAATAGCTCAGTTTCACCTAGCAAGAGAGACCCTATTCTTCAGCCAATATCAGTTCTGGTCCTAAAGGTACACCAAGTGGCTCTTGGTATTGAAGCACAGATCAGGAATTTGCTGTGGCCCTGCAGTCAGAGGACCTAATCCTACAGCAACCAGGCATTGTGAGGCTTTGGCAGTTCCTGCATGACAGTGCCCAGAGTCCCCAGCTCTGAAGACTAGCCACATCAAGCCAGCTGTGGGCCTCTCATTTGAGGTAGGACACTGTGCTGCTGTTCACTCTCCCCTGTCTTCAGAGAGTGGTTTCCTTTAAACCTTGCTCCATGATGGCAGTCTGGATTTGTTGCTTTCAGTGCTCACTGGCCTGGGGCCCTTCTTGGAAGGTGAGGAGATCCCTGTGGTTATCCCTATGCAAACTGAACTGTTGAACATGAGCATCACCTTGAAGGATAATTGCCCCCCCCCCAATTTACCCCACATCCACAGGACCTGTCCCTGACACTGTGGCCTTGGAGTATATTGTGGTGAAGCAGGATGATGATGGTGTCTTCCACATAGTAGTTGCTGTCCAGGACAAGCCATCATCAGAAGGACCTCAGTATGACAAAAAGCAACACTCAGAGGAACAGGTGGTTGGATTACCTGCAGGAATACTCTTTGGACAGCAAGTGAAGGAGCTGTCCACCCTATAGAAGGAACTTTTAGTCATGAAGCAAGCATTAGCCTGTGCCAACAAAGACAAAGAGAAGCTTCTACAGGAAATCAGGAAGTACAATCCTCTGTTCCAGCTTTGACAGTAGTAACACCAGCTGCCTCTGCCCCCGGGGAAATAACGCCAGCAGCAGCAGCACAGAGGGAAGAAAGCTCCATCTGATGTGGAACATGTCTGTTTGATTACACTGGAGGGAAAGCAGGAATTCCTGAATCTGCCCTTTTGGGGTATGTTTCATTCTTGCCAGCAGTTCTAGCTAAAGACAAGTCAGCTACATCTAGCCTCAGTGGTGTGGAAAGCTTTGCGTGTGGTTCTCACTGTTCCAGTGCCATTCACAACCTGTTTAAAGCTCCACTTGCCCAATAGGCTGGAGTCTTTCCATATGTAGGACTATTTTACCTCCTGGTGTCTTTGCAAAACTATTTGCTCCCTCTTTAACATGAGTTTGTATAAGGGAGAAGACCTTGACCCTTCTAGTACCCTCAGAAAGAACCACTAAAGATCACATGTCCCAGAGCTTCCTGTAGCAAAACTGAACCAACCTGGCCTTGAGCCCCAACTGAAGAAGCTGCAGTTCTGTAGGGAGTAGGACAGCATGGTGACGGGTGCAAAGGGATGGATGGAACCCAAGAGGATCCAGATGTAACACCTTAGGCATAGTGACAGAAAGGGATGGTACCCTATCATTCTTGGGAAAGGAGCTGGGCGTATTTCGTCTTTGCATATACTGCTATCAGATCTTTCAGGAAGGTTTGTTAGATATAATAAGGAATCAAACTTATTGTGGCAATGTAATGGTAGTAAACAACGGTGCAATGCCAACATTGCTCTTCCGTCTATAATAGTTTATTTAAAACTCAAAACAACAAAAATGGTAAACCCAGAGCTGAGTTGAAGGTCTGTTCTGGTAGAAGTGGCATCCAGATGAGTTGTATTCTTGGCTTCAAGCCCTGGTACTCTTGACTTTCTGAGGATCTTGGACCTCCTTTACAATTTCAGCCCCAACCCTCATCAGTTCTTCCCTTCTCCCATCCTTTTTATCTATTCCCCCTCTAGATAAGAGTGTGACTCTGCAACTATTCTCTTAGTATTTACCAGGGTGGAAGCTAATAGTGTTTTTTAACCATCAGTATAAATAAATATTCAACATGGCCAAACCTTGAAAAAAAAAAGACTTAGGAGAGTTTAAAATTTTTGTAAAAATTAATTCATCAATTAATTATTTGTTTTAATTTTCAATATTTATTTTTATAAGATTTTGAGCTCCAAATTTTGTGCTTTCCCTCCCATCCCCCCTCCCCAAGAATGTATGCAATCTGATATAGGCTATACATGTACAATCATATTAAACATATTTCTAAACTAGTCATTTTGTGAAAGAAGGATCAGAACAAAAGGAAAAAACCTCAAGAAAGAAAAAAAGAGAACATAGTATGCTTCAATCTGCATTCAGATTCCACAGTTCTTTCTCTGGATATGGATAGCATTTTCCATCATGAGTCTAGAATTGTCTTAGATCATTGTATTGCCAAGAAGAGGACTTAGGGCCATTTTAAAACTTTTTTTTTTTTGCTAAACACTATAAAATAATAACAAAGAAATAATAAATAAATAAAGCCAATAAATAAGAAAAAATAAATTTAAGCTTCAATAGTTTAAAACTGAATTAAGACTTTTGACACACTGTATAGCATAAAGCTTGTCTAAGACTTTTGAGACCTGCTGTATTGTTGATAAAAGATGTCTCTTCCATCAGGCCTCTTATGCCACACTTCAGAACTCCATTGGATCCCTGACTTCATAGATCTCACAGGGCTTTACTGCAAAGACCCAGGAGAAACTGGGGCAGTTTTCTGAAGTTGCTAGCTAGGCTTGGAGTCAGGAAGTTTATGTCCTGCCTTGTACATATGCTGGCCATTTGGCCTTGAACAAGTCACTTAATTGCCAAATGCCCCAGACAACTCTCTTAGACTTTAAGTTGCAGGGGTGATCCTTTTTTTCTTTTGGGTAGATGAAGTTCCCCTCTGGGAATCCCTTATGCTG